AATGAAGATGGAGATAAGCGATAAACTAGTTATAAGAGTTAATCCGTTAGAAGGAAATAATATAAAAAATAATGTCCTTAAAGAAATCATACGTCTAACCAACTAACGTAAGCTGTTTTCAAACGTGTTGGTTACTAGTTTTCAAAGTACCGAGTAATAAATCTTCGCGAGTTGTAAAAGAAAAGAACGACTAATGCTCGTCGAGTTTTCGCACTTGACATATAACGTATATTTCTCTCTTATTTTTCTTTTGAAATTATTTATTTATTTATTTATTTAACTATTAAATTGTGTTATATGCCATCGAAGAATTTACGATCGTAATTATATATTTTGTCATATTACTTTTGCGTACTTAACGATATTGAAATAATAATCAAGTTAAATACTAGACGAATCCTAAAGTTTTTTTTTTCTGTTTCAAGAATTTAAGCTAAATCTTTTCTTATCGTATTGTAATACTACAGGTATAATTGTGATTTATTTTGTTTGTTTTAAATTACTTTTGTTCAACGAGCTTAAAACTTAAAGCTACCTGTTATACGTATGATGATTTATTATTCGATTACAATGAATAAATGATATTTTTTGTAACGAATAATTAAACATACCCCGAAGAATATAACGATGCACTCTTGATCTATGTGGTGTGTATAACGTTCTTCTTTCTTATAGGCTCGTAAGTTACTGAATGTGTTTCGAAACGACTCGACGTCGTGATTTTTATACTTTCCAGGATCGTCGTTTCATCTCCTTTTCTCATTTCTTGTTTCTTTTATTCTTTTTTCCTCCCCCCCCTTTTTTTTTTTTTTTTTTTATCTTTTATCTACGGATTAACACGTGACCGGGTATTCGTCATTAGCGTCTCGTCTCGTCTCGTAACATAACCGACACGCGTGAGTGATCACGCGAAGGACACTTAGAACGAGACGCGAATCTACAAATTTTTCCATGCTTTTCCTCTTCCTTTCGGTCGAACTCATTCGATCCTTATTTCTCTTTTTCCTTGTTTTTTTTTTCCTTGTGTGTGTGTGTGTTTTTTTTTCTTTTTTTAATGAGACTCTTAACGCGCAAAACGACGTTTCCATTTCGGAATGCATATATGTATACACGAGTTCTCGTATTTCTTACTCTTTTTTTTCAATTTTTGTTCTCTTTCTCTGTCGTACTTTACGAAATGTTAAAATTGTCAAGGATTCGAGTTGTGTAACGTATTTTATTTTAATTCACGATTAGATTTAACACATTTGCATATTCACGAATTACGTATAATATATACGAATTATATATAAATTGAATTTTTCTCGATTTAATATTCATTTATAAACGAGGTTAATTGTTTCTATTTAAATAACGATTGCTTCGAGTCGCAACTTTCCATAACTTTTTTTTTTTTAATTAAGAACAAATCGATATTAATAATTACGATCTTAACGAAACTATATAATAATAACAATAACAATAAGAGACTCTCTTTCAACGTAATATCCATTTGTTTACGATAATTAATTTTAATGTTTAAACAAATAAAGGGGCAAAAAAACAATTGGGGGGGGGGCAAAAATGATTTTAATTTCCAGCTCCATGCAGCTGCATTGTCGTCGTTAAGATCCGAAGTCGCCGATCTAAATTCACGGCTATTGATAGCCACTCGTGCGAGAGAAGCTGCTGAAGTAGCTTTAGCAAGAGCAGAAGTTCAAGCTGCTAAAGCTGAGCAAAGAGCTGAACAGCAGGCGGCCAGACACGAGGAGAGACTTACCGAATTGCATTCTGTCATTGCGGAGCTTGGCAGACAGTTGGAGAGGCATCGTGCTACCGTAATTGCCGAGGAGGATGAGTCCGGTAAGAAATTCACATTCAATTCCAAGAATTCTAATACTCTTTCTCAACCCCCCACCCCAACCCCACCTCTTTTTCTCTCTCTCTCTCTTCCCTCTTGTTTTAATTCTTTTCCCATTCTATTGCGAGACGTAAATTATTCAAACTACTTCAAGCATGCACAGAATGTTGAAATGTAAATATAGATAACGAACTTCAACTTCCTCCAACGAATTCACTTAAATACATATTTTTATATTCCACGAGTTCGTTTTTTTCTTTTTTAAATTTTATATTAAATTTTGTGTTGTATGTATTATATTATACTATCTGAAAATCTCAATATTATATTGGGTGCATACAATTTATAGAAATCGAAACTAGTAGAGATGCGGAGGGATCGATTACGAATCCGGTGGAGGAGAGCGAAGGGGGTGGAGATATTCAAGGTGATGGAGATAGAACCTTAGGAGATGCCGATTCCAGTTGCTGCGAGGAAATTGAACATCGAACCAACGAGGTAACGGAAGAGGATTCGTTTCCTATTCGCAAATAGTATTTCGGGAAATGATGTATTTGCTGATGATTGCTATATCCTTATAACCTGTGTCTTCCTTTTTTTTTATCAATTTATTTCAATTTGTATTTATTTCATTTGTCAAAATGTTGATCTTCGCGAAAATTGGGGATAAAAAAATGACGGAATACTTGAGAAATTGATTTTTATAGAACGGTAGGGAACAATTGGATAGTCCTGCTGCTTTACCAACCCCAGAACCAACTCAACCAGCAGCATCGTGTCAAAGTGTCGCCGTGGCTACTCTCCAAGAGGAAGTTACAGCCCTTAGAGCAGAAATCGTGAGCCTTCAAGCACAGTTGGCACAGTTTAAGAATCAGGGACAGAATGGCAATCAGGGACAACTCAATGGGGACTCCCCTCGACGAGAACACAAAGTAAAAATATATTGAAATATCGTAACATCGATGATGGGAAGGGAGGAGGGGAATGAAGGGTGTACATCTTTAATTTTTAATTATCCTATAACGTCGTGCTAACTAGCTCACTCAAAGAAATAAAATAAAATTACTCTCGACGGGTTGAAAAGAGTTCTTTTCAACGCGTTAGATTTTCAAGTTTCTTCTTTATCGTATTCACAGACGAGAGGAAATACCAGTTCGCCGGAACCTCTAACCGCACCTTGCTCGCCACTCCTACCACCCCTTCAAACACCACCGACAAAAAGCGTAACGAGGGAAGAACCGCCGGTCCTCAAGATGGCCGAGAGAGTGAGACTAAGGAGAACAGATGAGAGGCACATCACCGGCCCCGATATTACAAATCTCGGTGTATGAATTCAATTATTTTTCTTTTTCTCCTCTCCTATATATTTCCTTTTTCATTTACAGTCAAGAATATGATATAAGAATCTAAACATCATATTACAGGTTTGTTCGACCATGGTCGCCGAGCATCTCGTATCTGATCTTTTAGAACAATCGAATTTGCAAGAGTTAAATGGTTCAGAAAAGCAATTTGAGGTAGAAACGGAAAGATTGAACAGTAGATTGGAACATGCTCGAGCTAACAACGCTGTTCTTGCTTTGACTTTACATGAGAGTAAAGCACAATGCGATAGGTAATTTTACCGAGGACGTTTCAATATGGATTTACAGAGATACGTAGCTAGGTATACATATACATATATGTACGTCATTCGAATATATTTTTTTGTTGCACTTAGATTGAGTTTACTTGTTGGGAAATACGAATCGAATGCAATGGCGTTAAGATTAGCGTTATCCTATAGCGATCGTGCCATAGAAGCCTATGATATTCTCGTAGCTTTATTAGAAAGTGAAATTGCACTTTCTACCGAACGAAATAGCCTTACTATCGACAATAGGAAAGCAGCTGAGAATGTAGCTTATCATCTGTTGAACAGACTTGAAAATGATTGTGCTAATGTTATGGGTGCACCTTGGGAAGATAGTATTATCTTGTCGGATGAGTATGTATATCAAATTGTTGAAAATCTTGAAATATGAGATTAGACAATCTTATTATTTTCATAGATCCGAAGTAACCTGGACAGTCGAAAATGAAGAGAGACTTAGAAGACACATCAGCAAATTAAAAGGCGAACGTGGTATGGTTAGATCTACTGCAGTAGAATTGGAAAGTGTTCATGTTGAACCACTTAATTCAAAAAATACTATATCTCTCGCGGAAGCTAGAAAATTAGATTTAGAGACTGCTGTGCTTATGCAAGTTAGTTTAACAATTATAATATTTAAATAATAATTACTGAATAATAGTAAGGAACGTTGATCCATTCCAAATTTAAAATATCGTTAGGAACTAATGGCTATGAGAGAAGATAAAGCAGAATTGAGGGCAAGAGTATTTCTTTTGGAAAAGGAAAGAGCTACGATGGAATTAAAATTAAACGCACAGGAAACGCAAATTGCAGCTCAGCATGCTGCTATAGAACATCTTCAAGGACAACTTAACGATACAGAAGCTATGTTATCGATGAACAAAGTAATATATTTTTTACATACATATTTTATAAATGTATTATCTAATAGAATCAAACAATGTGTTATAATGTTATTTGTAGGATCGAGGTCTTAGTGATAATGAAAGTGAGGGTATTGAATCTGAACTTATAGAAGCTTTGGGTAGAGAAGCAAGATTGAAAGAACGCCTCCAAGAATTAGTTTCCACATTAGATAAAGTAAATAAAAATTCAGAATTGAGACATCAACAATCCGCAGAACTTGTTAATGATTTGAAAAAAGCTAACAGGTGATATAATTTATTTGATCAATTGTAATAAATTGATTTTGAGAATTAAAAGTTAAATATCTGTTTATATATATTTTAGCACTCTGGTACAAACGTTGGAAAAAACAAAGAAAAAATATCAATCTAGATTAAAGAAATTAGAACAACAAATGTTGGGAATGGTAGAAAGACATACAACGCAGGTATGAATAATAAATATCCTGAGGTAGATATTATACTCGTACATTTGTACTTTAAATTAAAATTTATAGTTATGAATTATCTTTTCTAACTTGTTGTTTGCGCATGGAATATATTATGATATCTAACTACAGCCTCAAGATATTTTTATTTCTTTTTTAAAGTTTATTTCATAGAGCAATTTGTTTTACTATTTCTGCTGAATATAATTTATTCTCTATTATGCATCTCTCTTTGTATAATGCACATATATATATATATTTGATATTATTATAAATTATATCAATTATTTGTTAGCTTTCCATTGTTTTAATTCTTCAGCTACCAGCTTATCCACATCGGATAGAGGTTGGTATATATGGTGGACAGTTTGTGCTCCAGCAAGCATAGTTAACATTGATATGATACTAAATTTAATGAATGACCAAGACATATCTTTTAATATTTGACGGTTCTTTGAAAGAATATCAAGTATTCTTAGTAACTTTTAGTACTTAGACATTGTCTCTTGCAGCGTTACGCAAATTATCTTTAACTATCTCTTGGACAAGTCGTTTTTTATATACTTTATAAAAGTTAACCTCGCCAACATGCCAGTTGATCATACAATATTCTAATAATGCACCAGTAACGAAAAATAATGGTAGGAAACGATAAATACCAAAAGTTTTTTCCCCAGGCCACTTTTTCAGATATTTTCTTATTATTTTGTGATATTTGGACATCAGTACGTTGAATATCTTACAATACACTGCAGAAATATTCTTGTTTAGCAGCCATATTGAATGCTGTGCGTGCGCATTCTTGCATCAGACGAATTATTGACATTGTTAAATATATATATATATATATATATATATATATAACAGTATATAATATATAAATAAATTTTTTTAGACATATTTATATAACATAAAAGTGATTAAATTTTTAATAATTTATTTATAGGTTAAATCACTGAAACAACGCATAGCTTTGCTTGAAGAAGAAGCATCAGTATATAAAGGAAGTTTACCATTGCAATCGCAAAGCTCAGGAGCTAGTGAAACATCTTTATGACAATTAAGTGACTAATTAAAAAATGATAAAAACGTAAACGTAATTTATTCAAATGCGTTTCCTGCCGTCGCGAAACGTGCGAAATAAAGATTAAATTTATGTATTTTTTTACTGGAATAATTTCTTAAGCATGACGCTTTGCTATTCGCTTTGTAATTTTACGAAGATATATATGATATGATATATCATTCTCTTGTAGAATACAGAATTTATGCTGGGAATTGTGACGTGCTATGAATACTTCGACGCGTGCAAGCTATTTAGTAATATGATGAATTATAAATATAAATTACTAGTAATGTTGTTTCATTCATAGCAGTGATATTTACTTGTAAATATGTATATTGTAAGACATAAACAGAAGTGTGATACATATAAACAATAATTAAATAAATTGTGCTTTATTATATTTAACATTTATATAATATTGAAATATTGTACTTTCATAATTTATAATGCAAGATTTCTTATGGAGATAATTCGAATCTTTTTTTGTTTTGGAACAGATGCGAATACACACCTGTGACTCATTGTATCTATTTAAACAAAATTATTACATATCTTGATTTTCAGCAAGATTCATTTGCATTGCCATAACTTCTGTAGCACTTTTTCCTGGAATAGCTGGTTCTTCATCCCCTGGTACATGATTTATTTCTACTATCTCTTCTTTATTCATTATAGATTTTTGTAAATGTATTTCCTCTTCTATATGTACACACGCTTGTTCAATTTCATAATTCTTTGAAACTAAACCGACCCATTGAGCTTCCAATGCTCTTAACTTTTCTCCTCCTTGTGTTTGCTTTGATTTCCTTTGCCAATTGACTTCCTGAATCTGTTTCCTTAAAGTCTGCAATTGTTTCTGTGCTTGACTAAGTAACTGAACTAATACTTCCAAGTAAGATTTCCAAGCTTCGCAACCATATTCCATCATTAAATCTAAATTACATATTCTATAATTTTAAAATAAAAAAATATTGTAATACAAGGAATATAATATATAATTAATTCTATAATATATATATATCATAAAAATTTTACCTAGTTGCTTGATGTTCCAATTGAGCACTACTATTTTCTACGCTTTCATTCCAGGCTGCCAAATCATTCATTTTACCAGGTGGTGGTGGTGGAAGTTCATAACGTTTCATACTGAGAACCTCCATAGGAGAACGATTCTGCATCCTTTCAAACTCGTGTTTCATTACATCAGTCTCAAATGCATTAATATTTAAAGGAGGTAAATGTTCCAAATAATTTTTTGTTGGTCTGTATCGTCTTGTTTCTTCTTCAACCATTGCCAAAGCCTGAAATTGAATAATTAAAGATACATCCTCCAAATACCAAATATAAACTTGTTTGTATCCATAGTAAAACTTTAAAAAACATAATTTATATTACACAAGGTATAAAAGTTTCATTTTATATATAGATTATTTATTCTAAATTATATACCGCTTCCCTAACACCAGGTTCATCGTATCCTTGGTCTATGTAAGGTAATGCATCAACAATAACTTCTCCAGCCATTTTTTAACATAAAAAAAAAATTTCAATATATGCAGTTTCTTCGTATAAATACAATCACATTTCGTGACACCTTATATATATACTACTATACAAATATTTCGTTGCCAGTGTTATTGAAACATTAAAGAAAAATTCGCCTTAAGGTTATTTATGCTTTCAGTCCTACTATAATCACATTTCTATAAAACTGCATTTCTCAATGTACAAATTTCTTAACCAATAGAACACAACATTAAAAAAGTACGCCTTAAGGTTATTTAATGGTTTCAGCGCCTCCTGACAGAAGAAAAACGTACGAATAGTAAGTGTTCAATGCAACAACCGGACGTGCCGCTAAAGTTCGTCGATTGAGCATGCGTGAGTTGAGTACTCCAGTTTCCGTTTGCATCGTCTTTCTTTTATGGTAAGGTAAGTCATAAGGACTGCCTGCCTCGCGTATGTTCTTTGGAAAATTGTGGAATAGCACGCGAGATGGTAAGGATAAATTATTATCTTTATTGCCAATTTTACATACATCGATAATGTCGTATTAATTTATAATTAATATTTACTCTTTTTTTTTCTATATCCCGAAAGTTTAATGTTGGGTGATAATTTGTTTCGTGGACCACGTGTAATCTGTGTATACTTCAGTAGGATATATTTTTTATGAATTTAATTCGTTTTTTACAATTATACTTGCACAAAGATCTATTTTTTAAGATTCATCTATAATTTATTACGATAACATCATCTAAGAAAAGATCTCTACGATATAAAGTATTTGAAAAAAAAAAAGTCGTTACTTATTTCTCTGGCCGCCATGTGCATATAAGAATTCGTTTGATTATCTTCAATATATATACTCTCTTCACCAATAGAACTTTTTAATATTTCGTTATAATTATTAAGAAAAGGGGAAACTTGTTTTAATATTTAACTTAATATTTTCTTATTATCTCTTTACTTTAGTCGTTATCAACGGCGCGTCCTTTGGTTACTGTATATAGTGACAAGAATGAGCCATCAGGAGACACCATATCTTTGCCATCGGTGTTCAAAGCACCGATACGCCCTGATATCGTAAATTTTGTCCACCAACAAGTTTCGAAGAATAGTAGACAACCCTACTGCGTTTCTAAAGAGGCTGGTAAATATATATTTTTATAATCACTAACCAATTAACAACAATATGGTATGTCACATTCGTGAATTAAATGTATAATAGATTAATACGATTATGAATAAGTTAATTTTATTTTCTAGGCCACCAAACTTCTGCTGAGTCATGGGGAACTGGTCGTGCTGTAGCACGTATTCCTCGTGTTCGTGGTGGAGGTACTCATCGTTCTGGTCAGGGTGCATTTGGTAACATGTGTAGAGGAGGACGCATGTTTGCACCAACTAAGCCATGGAGAAGATGGCACCGTCGTATCAATGTAAACCAGAAGAGATACGCTCTTGTATCCGCTATTGCTGCTTCTGGTGTTCCTGCCCTGGTACAATCTAAAGGTAAATATATATACATATTTCTGATTATTCTAAATTAATATATACATATAGATGTTTATGATGATTTAGCTTTGGTCCGTGTTTCTGATAAACTGATTATACATAAGCTTTGTTCTGAGAATATAATAATGTATTATTAATATATACCATTTTTGTTAATTACGATAACTTATGCTGATCATATTAAATATTTTTACAGGACATATGGTTCAAGAGGTTCCAGAATTCCCTCTTGTAGTTTCCGATAAAGTTCAGGAATACAATAAGACCAAACAAGCAGTTATCTTCTTAAGGCGTATCAAAGCTTGGAATGATATTCAAAAGGTAATTGAAAACAAAATTGAGAATACTTATGTTGGCACTGTATAATGTCCACATCTTTACTAAGTCAATTAGTTTTGGTGTTCCAAATCAAGTGCTAGAGTAATATAGTTGTCACAGGCGTTCTAATTTAGTATTTTTTTTTATACTAAATTGGGGTATGAACAACTGCACACGTTTTTATTTTATTATAAATATTATTAATTATTGTATCTTTTGTAATTGTTTGTACTGAACAATATTTAATATTTGTTTGTAGGTTTACAAATCTCAAAGATTCCGTGCTGGCAAAGGTAAAATGCGTAATCGTCGTCGCATTCAACGTCGTGGACCTTTGATTGTCTATGGAGAAGACAAGGTTTGTAATTATATACAGTAAAAAAAAAGAACCTTAAATTTTTCTATTTGTCTAATTAAGTATTTGTGTTTAGGGTATACGTAAGGCATTCCGCAACATTCCTGGTGTGGATCTTATGAACATAAACAAGATGAATCTTTTGAAGTTGGCACCTGGTGGCCATGTTGGCAGATTTGTTATTTGGACGCAGTCTGCTTTTGACAAATTAGATGCACTTTATGGAACTTGGCGTAAACAGTCTAAGCTTAAAGCAGATTACAATTTGCCCTTCCCTAAGATGGCCAATACAGATTTGTCTAGACTTCTGAAATCAGAAGAAATCAAGAAAGTTCTGAGAGCTCCAAGGTAATATTTTTTTATTGATATTGAATTATAATTATTAGTATTAAATTATATAATGATTCTTCTATTCCTTTTTTTATTTTTATATATTAATATGATGATTTTAAGGTCCGTGTTGTTGATTGACAATGATTATAATTTTAAACCACTTCTGATAAAAATTAATGAAAAATCTAAACTTTTTATTCTCTTTGACAATTTCTAATGCGTGACCATATTATCAAATTACAGGAAGAAGATCGTACGTAGTGTGAAGAAATTGAATCCATTGAACAATACACGTGCAATGTTACGTTTAAATCCATATGCTGCTGTATTGAAACGTGCAGCAATTTTAACAGCACAAAGACGACAATACGAGAAGGATTTGATCTTAGCCGAAAAACGAGGAGTAAGTACAATAATATCAATCGATTTGCTTTATATTAACGTTATTCAACAAGTTTGAGATATATATATATGAAAATATTTTATTTCATTTTTAGATCGAACTTCCTAAAAATGCACCAGCATTAAAAGCTAAGAGACTTCAAGAAAGACGCACGAAACAAATTTTGGCGTATAAAGCATTAAAGGGAAAGAAACTTAAAGCTCCGAAGAAAGCAGCCCCGGCACCAGCAAAAGCTGCAAAGCCAGAGCAAACTAAAACGGACGCTCAAGCAACAAAAGCTAAAAGCCCACCACCAACAAAATAAATATGATTAAACAGCTTTTGTCGTTTATTCAAAATTTTTATTTCATTATAAATAAAATTGTGGGAAGTGACGAAATAGCTAAATTTATATTTCGATCACCGTTTAAAGTACTTTATTTATATATATATATATATATATATATATATATATATATATATAGGTATAAAGAATTTCTTTTTTTTTTTACATTAGTATGGAATTTAAAAATGTTCTATGAGTGGAACTCTCATAAAAATGGTATTATCATCGAATATTTCAATAGATGCGATTTTTGCATTTGCTTCCATTGGAATGAAAAAGTTAATATTTCTAACGTGACGTTGACCACCCAATTCTCGTAATTTAATGTTTAAAACATTTTCCGTAGCTAAAGCAGCAGTACTTACTTTAAATCCTTCTATCTTCATTTCTGCCTGCAATATATTTGATTTTTTACATATACCTATAATACACGCAATAAGAATTGAAAGAGTTAGTACATTTTAAAGAAAAATTACTTACAGCAAAATATTCTTTACTATTAATCATATAAAAATCTGGTATTTGAGTCAATTTAAATCGTGTTTTAAATCCACTCGAAATCATTTTAAGATCTATATAATCGTTTTGTTTTAATAGTATGGCGTTGTCCAAACAATGCTGAGGCAAATTTTCCATAATCAATCGATGAAGAATTATTATTACAAACGTAACAGGAATTGCAGGTATCTGTTATAGAACTTAACCTGGCATTTGCAAAATGTTAGAATTACATAGATTATTGATTAGATTAATTCTTTTGTTTCGATTAACTGTTTCCAAAGTTGATGGCACAAAAAAAATAAGAATGACCAGTTTTTTTATATATCCTGTAAAAAAATACGGGTTACTTAAAATATTCCTGAAAACATTATTTTTACAAATCTATTGTACATTTAACTTACACGTACAAGTTGACAAAGATTTATTTTAATTAATCACATTTTTCGTATTTTACTAGGTTTAATACTAGGTGCAGTTAGAATGAGCATTCTATGTTTATTGTCTACTACAGCACGTATTTCATCGCTGTCTATAGTTTCCGGTATAAGTAAGTTTTCTCGATGTTTAATAATCAATTTTGTTAAATCGTTAGATACCGATTTTTCAATAATATCCGATAAATCTTTCCTTAGACGTCTTAGAACGCTCACTCGAAGGTTATTACCCTTAACAGTTATTTTCGTGGAGGACATGTCAACTTCCGGTGCTAGTAACATCTTAGCCTTCGTAAACGATGAATACACGATGTGATTAATAATTTAAAGAATTATATATTTACAATTTATATATATATATAATTAGGTTATAAAATCTAAGGCTTCCTACTATATCATCGATCATTTTTTTTTAACCCTCCCTCAAGAAAAAAAAATGGTTGATTAATTTTTTATCTTATAAGGTCACTGCTTCGTATAAGCCATTATAAGGGAAAAATTAATGAGCTTCCAACCTTTTGATGGTTTGATGACTTTTTTTATAATACGTGTTATAAAAAAATATTTATATAAAATAATTTATCGATCTCGCGATGCATAACAATGTTGGAAATGAACAAAATTTTGTTCTTTCTTATATTTTTGAATGTTTTTCTTGTGTTATAAATATTAGTATTACAATTTTTTTGGTATGTACATACCTCGTAAAAATTGTCAGGTCGAATACCTATGGAAACTATTTGCACAATGTAACTGTTATCCAATGATTTGGTTAATGATATTTTGGTAGAATCAGTTATTCTTTTATCGTGTAATTTTGGACAGTAAATGCTACCTGTCTCATGATCACCATGACATTTTGTACATTTTTCGTTCGTTGCACTCATTTTTTTATGCATTAAGAATTACGTTTGTGTAATTTGATTATTAGGATTGTTTTAAATCTTATCAAAGATCATAATCGAGAGGAAGAGAGAAAAAATAATAAAAAAAATGGAGAAAATTCTTAGGTTATAAAATTTTAATAAGATATATAATAAGACTTATCAATTTAGGGTGAATATATTAAAAATTTAATTCGCGTGCATTTATTTGTGTGAAAATCGTAAATAATTGACTAAAGCTAATTACGTGGATGAAACAAACGATTATCGATTGGAATTTATGCAAGAGATGCAACTTCGATTATATTGGTCAGAATTCATAAAAAAAATAATCAAATAAGAATTTTTTTAGAAAACATATTTCAAACAAATTCATTACGTTATTACGTAGTTTTGTTTATTTTTTCAAATTCTAATTTATAAGGTTAATATTTTTATAACTCATATTAATGCAATCAAAATAATACCGATAAAAATAAATCGGTTTAAATTTAAATTATAGCAAAGAAATAATCATTAAATTTGGTTTTTTCCAGTTTCGATTTAACTAATATATAAGGCTTTTTTAAATATTTTTTTCTCGAAAGAAATTTATAATTCTATTATATGAGAAGTTTCGTTTGAACATTTTTAAAAGTAGTCCCACGAAATAATTCTAATTACATTTTGATTTATCTCATTTTTTAAAATTTGTGTGTTAGAATAAAATTAAAGATTTTTTTCTTTAACAAAGAAAGTTTCGAATTAGCGGTCTCACGATTTAAATATATAATACATAATTTAATTCGCGTTCCAATTACGACGTAAAATCCTCGTGAGTTATCCTTTTTCTTTCATTTTTTTTTTAACACCTCGATGCTTTGAATTGCATAATCGAGATTAAAATATCGCCATCTTGAATAATTCCAGCATCCGTATGTATGTAAATACATAATTACGTTCGTATTTAACACACGCCTGAAGACTTGAATATTCATTTGTATATTTTCAGTTACAAGAACATTTTCTAAAGAAAGAAACATTCAGTTTTTTGAAAAATCTAACAAAGTAAAGAATACGATCGAATAAATAATTTCATAACGCAAAATCGATGAATAATAACTTCGTCTACTTTAAATCTATTTAACATTTCGATATTCGTTTTGATCGACCCAATTGGATCATGGTAATTTCAATAATCGCAATTAGCCAATCAAATGTTACGATCGATAGTATTATAAATCTCATCATGGCGGCCGCCGATTGTGTTTCCCGCTCTTTTCGGCAATTTCGTAAAAATAAGTAAGTAATAGATAACAAATTATATACGAATTATTAATTATATTTTAAATAATATTTAATGAGTATATAAAAATTATTTTTGTCCGTTTCGTTTATATGAATAATTTTATAATTAATTTTAATATCTTTATTAATTTCTTATTTATCTTCTCTCATCTTATTCTCAATTATTTTGTTCTCGTAGGACTATTTATCATTAAAACGTTCCTATATCTGTATTGTTTTGAAACGCCTGCGCGAATTTCCTTTTGAAAGGAAGGACGGTAGGGGTAACGCGGGATTCAGGGGCGAAATTGCACCGTGGTTTTCAACTACCGGATATCAGTGAAAGACGGGCGGTCTCGCGGTTAAGTCGTCCTTCGCGATTCCATGTCGCCTTATCTCGTCCTTTTCCTTCGCTACGGAATTTTGGCGGTTATTTTTAAGAATGGTAAGTTTTAACTTACACTCTTTAATCATCTCGACATTGATCTTTTTCAATTTCTTTACAAATTATACTATATTTTATTTTGTTTGTTTGTTTGTTTGTTTTTGTACTTCTCTTAAAAACAAGTCGTACGTTTGTATCAACCAATGAAAAATTTCGAGCTTTGATTAGAAAATATTCAAATTTTTCAATGACAGAAACTAAAAGAAAATGATTTTTACGCGAAACTTAAGTCATCGATATTAACTTTTCCTTGAACGTTTCATTCGTTTTATATATTTCAACGAAATATAAAAGTCGTTTGTACGTCTAGTTTAACCTAACTTTTTAATTTAGGTTATAACATATATAAAGTTGGAAAGGATCCTCGCGCTTCGTAGGATCAGCTAATTTACCGACCGTGTCTCTCTCCTTTCAAATTTTCACGAATATAGACGTTTCGATCGACCGGGGTCAAGGATTTTCCTTGAAATATTTTCCACGACGAATTCTTTTTTTTTTAATTTTCTTTTCTTTTTTATTCCCCTTCCACTCCGGTTGTTTCTTTTTCATTTGAAACATGTGCGGCGGCGGCGGCGGTGTGGTAACGTAACACACGTTTTTACGAATTTATAAATCTTTGAGTAGATTTTAACTATGATCGATATATTTTCGATCAGAACTTTTTGAACGCGTTCAAATTCAAATAAGATTACGAAATAGAGCATAATCTTTCTTTAATGTTTTTTTCATATACCATATTATATATCTATCCGTTCGATCATTTCTTTTTTTCAATTATTACCGAAATTCGTTTTTATCGGAACAAAAAAAAGAATAAACCAACAAAAGAACAATATTGATTTTTTAAATAAAATTACAATTATTTGATTTTTTCATTTTAAGATAATATATATAAAAAAAAAATGATTATAATATTATTATTATATATATATATATAAATCTGTAGTTATAGTGTTGTTAAAAAAACGTATTGATTTACTATGTCGTCATTCGAAATATCTGCAAAAAAGAAATTTCTAATTTTTTAGTTTGATAAAACAATTTTTGGGACACTGTAAATATAATATATTTCGGTAATAAATTTGATCGTTCTCTTTAATCTTCCTATCATATATCACTTTTTAATACAATGTTGACCAATAACGTGTATATTTCAGATTACGCATGTATAGAATATTTCTAATTGTCGAAGTAAATTTACAATTGTTTATAATCCATTGTTATAGTATTATTTATTGCAATGGATATATTGTTTGTTTAATGATAGAATATTATCAATTTGCTAAAATTCTAAATATTTGAATAACCTTTCATTAATACTTATAAATTAATTATTAATATATTGAATTTTGCGAAACGCATTATTTCCTTTATATATATATGTATCAATTGGTCAACAATGTGAGTTAATATCGTACTCGATAAATAGTCATTTTGATTTCATGCTTGAAACATCGAACGAGTTGCATCATTTTCTGTATTATATGTACATTTCCTTTCTATAAAATATAAGATAAAATAGTACAGCTGGAAATACAATTTTTCCCTCACAGAGCTTACATTTCCAACATTATCTTTTATATGTATCCTTATATATTGGATAAGAGATTTCAGAGAAATGAGATGGTTGAATTCAAATGGAAATTCATTAAATGAACAATAAACGATATGAATCAGGATTATAAACGTATATTTGTTCAACAATGAACGAAATAAAAAAATTGTATAACATTGATTTTATGATTTATCTTTATATTTTACAATTAAATATATCAGAAATATTTTCACTTTTGTATGAATCCACTATCGTAATTTTTGGCGCATTCAAGTGTCATAAGAGGACTTACAAAAAAGTTAGAAAAAAAAATATTCGTCAATTTCGAATGAATCGAAGTGAATTATTCGATTCGGTGAAATCTCTTTGTTATAATCATACTTTCGACGAGCTTTCATTCGAAAGACTCTTTCTGTGTTTTTCATGAACGCTCATTTAGAACTCCCATATTGACGAAGCTTCATATTTTTTTTAGCTTGAAACTTTTATTGTACTCTAAATAACGTTTCAAAAGAGACTCGTAAAAAATTAGAACAAAGTAATGCGGATTTTCGCTGGTTCTGACTTAAAGGCCAAAAAAGAAAAAAAAAAAAAAGAAAAACGAAAGAAAAAAATAAAAACCATTTTCATATCGGTATAATATTTCTCGTAATAATTTATGTATTGTGTAATCTTGAAAATGGCGCGTTTTACGCACGAAATCACGTGACACCGTGATCAATTTCATTTCAGGCGGGATATTTAAATCTTTACAGTAACTTTTGATAATTTTTTTTTTTATATAGACATATATCTTTATAGAACGTAATATATTTACGTTCTATATCACTATTTATAGATTCAATATAATATATCTATATATAGAATATAATTATTGGAATTATAATTTTACTTTGAAAAAAATGAAATAATAATTTTGTTTAAAATTAAATGATATCTCTCTTTCATTGTTAATCTAAAGTTTTCGAATATCGAGAATTATTTTGTGTAACAAGATCGATTAAGACAAGTTCGATCTCCGATTAAAGCTCATTTCTACTTACTGTGCCTGTTAAATTCGAACGTTCAACTCGACAGGATTTCCTGCAAGAATATTATCGCATTCGATCGAGTTGTAAATGAGTTTCGTGTTCCATAAATTTCTCTGCCCACTACTCTTCATTCTTCTGTCCCTTCTCCACCTTCTCCGTCAAATAATTGAAGAATTTTCGTTCAAATTGTAGCGTTCATTTATTCGATTTCCAATCTCCCACATCGATTTTCTATTTGTCGAATAGAGTCGATAGAATCGTTCGTAACTAAAACGATAGGTATTTTATTATTTCTATATGTCGATAGTTTTGGAAATTTATACGGTAAATTAGGAATAATTGTACTGTATGCATCAGCATTTTCAAACGTTTTTTTTATTTTTCTACAACGAGATCATTTTTATCAGACAATTTGTGTAATCAGAATAAGATTGATGTACGATCGTTTGTTAAAAGTTATTCGACGATATTTTTCATTTGTTTTTTCTTTTTTTTTTATCTCGTTACATTATCTTTGCTGTTTCTTCTCATTTTTTATTTCTTCTTTTTCTTTTTTTTTTCTTCTATTACTTTCTCCCAAAGGATCAGAAACAACGGGCTATTATTACACGTAAAGTATTATCGAAAATTTCTCGTATTCTCTACCGTAATAATAATAATAATAATAATGATAATAGATCATTTGAATGAATAATTAATGATAATAATGATTAATAAATCAAAAATTTAATAATATCGTGTTAAAATATATCTATACGAAAGAAAAAAGAAAAAAAAAATGTAATGATAATAACAATAAAGAATTGGCTTTATGTCTGCCATAAATTCATGTTATTATTTGCAAGAATTCCGTAATCGAGACATTTATTATAACCTCTCGCTTATTGGTTATCAGATTTCTCGTTAATTGGATATGATAATATATAAAACAAAACGATAATCATATATTTTTCAAAATGAGGATGAGAAAAAGGAAGAAGAGTTTTTTTTATAAGTAATTTTGAATCTTTCGTGATTAAACGAATGGTAATTCTACATCTTTGAAAATAATATTGATAGAACATAATGAAAAGATATTTCAAAATATACAACTGAGATAGAATTTATTTTGTGTTGTTACAATATGTAGCATACCTATACACGCTTATGTATTATATATACACGTATACGTACCTGTATATATTTAATAAAATGTAAAGTACACATTTAACAAATATAATTGATCGAACTTACTTTATTTTACTTTATTTTTTTCTTTTTTTTTTGTTTTTCTTTGCTACGATACATAATACATCTATCTATCTATCTATATACATATATACCACCTATATGTATTTCACGAAATGCAATTTGTCGCGCGAATCGATGCGAGAAACATCTATCACATTCGAAGGACGTCTCTAACGTAAAAATATTTCGCTGTGGATACGACCGATGTTCCTCCCTTCGACTGTGTCCGTCATTTTTTTTTTTTTCAAACGATACTTCTCTGTCGGTTCTTCAATATCATGTCAGAGATTTTTATCCTACTACGTGTGTATATACACGCGTAGAAAATATAATCTGTATAATTCTATAACAGAGTTTTATTTAATTTCATTATATTAAAATAATTCCATGATTTTTATCTATACTTAACACTTATTCTTGTTGATCAGCTGTTATACACATAAATATACGTTTCAACAGTTGATTATCTCATAATTGAATTAAATAATAATAATAATATAATAA